ACGACACTAAGTTTGAAAATATTGCTGAAAATCCAAAATATTTTGAACTCAAAAATAAACATTCTGAAATAAATGTTGCCGTTCGATTTCTGATTTTACTGAAAACTACTTAGTTCTTATTGAAATATGGAAAAACTTCAAAAAAAAAAAACGATTCAAATAATATTTATTCTCAATGTTAATTTGTCTGACCTCATCGATTTATGATCTGGACTGATTTTTATTCAAACATTCGGACATTTTTAAAGACGTAAAAAAAAGTTATCATTCGATAAAATTTTCTATGAAAATTTTCATATATGATTCGTCTCGTAGAACGAAAATCAGTAAAAACAACACTAGTTCAAGAAAAACTTTGATAAATACATGTAAAAACAAAATATATACTCAAATATATATTTTATCAATGCATATACTAACCTCCATGTCGCTTGGAAATATTCTTGGTCAATTTGACTTTCTTTCCATCGATTTTCATAATACATTTGGTTTTTGCCATTGTACGAAAATATTTCTATAATAATTTTCAAATTAAAATTTATTTTATTTTTAATCAAAATTAAAGAAAAAAAATAATAATTAAGAATTGTCTTACTAGATCATGATCGATCGTTTGAATGTAGCCACATTGATAGAAGTTTGATAATGTTATTGATGCAACTGTTCGCACTTCTAATCTTTCATCAAATAGACATTTGAGTACAAGTTCATGTAAACGTTTTGCATAAGGACGAGCATTAAATAAATTAGAAAAGATCATGCTTTGAACAAATTCAATAGCTGTATAACGTGCACTCCATTTGCTACTTGTACACAACTATATTTAAAGAAATAATAAAACTATCATGTATGATCAATAGATAACAATTCCTAAGTAATTTTACAATAAAAATCTAAATGCTTTTGTTCTATTAAATTGAAATAAGCTCATTTTACAGAGTAAATTCTTCTAAAATTTATTATATTCTAATCAATCATAGAATAAATTAGACACTTATAGAAAAATATTTCTATAGTAGAATTAATTTCACATGAAATGGAATATATGAAAATTTCAAACTATCCTTTGCATATATCATATCTTTCAAAAAAATCATTAACAATTTTAAATTTTTCCTGAAAATCAATAATGATTATATAAATCAAATATTTCTTACGGTTTATTTTTCTTTTATCAATAAAAACTTTTTTTTGAAATTCTATTATTGATGAAAATATCAAAAATTTGATTCAAATCAAATGAAGACATTTTTTTTTTTAATTTTTTCTCATATATAACTACTAAATAGTTATGCTAATTTCATTTCTATACATACTTGTTCCAATTGTTTAATCAGTGTTTCTAAATAGTGTTCATGTAAATAAGCCGTTGCCATATGCATTTGACTTATTGCCAAATTCATTTTCAATATAGGATCCTTAGCCGCTATACTTTCAAGTTCACA